CCCCCCCCCCCCCTCAAAAAGCCAACAGGCAGATAACAGATTCCCCAGGAACCACCAAAAAGAAACCCAGTGTCCCAACACTGACTCCCTCACACCTTCCTCCTCCTTCATTTTCTTCAGGTCATCCTCCCCCACCAGGGAGACACGCTTGGGTGGCTTCTCCACCTGCTGCTGCTTCACTTCCATCTCAAAGTACTTTTGCCTCTCGCGGAAGGATCGCTGCTCTGGGCTGTGCAGTCCCCCAGGTGACAGCATCTGCAACAGCCACAGCAGCACGTCAGCCACCAAAAGATCCTGCCCCATATCCAATCCCCCCAGGTAAGAGCCTAGGTCTGTCTTACCCCTTCCCCAATCTCAAATCCACTCTCTTCAGGAATGTGACTGGTGCCCACCTTCTCTGGATCCCTGCCCAGACCTAATCCCCCAGGGTATATGCCTGCCTTCCCTGGTCCCCACTGCACATCCAGTCCCTGCAGGCACAGGTACTACCCCATATCTGTACTTCCTCTCTGCACTGCCCCAGATGGGACCCTGTCCTCATCCCCCCAAACCCCCAACTTCAACTCAATTTCCAGGCACTGAAACTCACCTCAGGAGAAGCTTTAGGTTTCTCAGTGCTTGTATGACCATGCATCTCCTGAGGAGAGAGAAAAGGGAAACTTCTGAGAGGGGCTTGCTTTGCCTCACCCAAGAAACACAGCAGCACCTCCTGAACCCATTGTAATTTCCTGACCCACCTGTGATGCTCCCAGTATCCCCGTTTTCTCTGCCTGCCCCGTCCCCAGTCTGTGCAGCCAGGTAATCGTCTCTGTCCCACCCCTACCTTATTGGCCTGTGGCTCAAGGAGAGAATGTGACTGGGGCACTGCTGCAAAGGTCTTGTATGCCTGCTTGACATTGACTGGGACATCCTCAGGAGAGGGGGGTGCGTGGGGACGCAGCTGCAGAGACAGAGAAAGAAGAGGTCAGGCAAGCAAGAAGAGAGCAGGAAAGAACCAGCCCCCTGGGTGTGTTGAAGCCCACAGGGTGGCAGGTCAGAGGCTCCATTTTGGGTAGAGGGGGAGTAGCTGCCGTGCAGTGTGGCTTGTCACATGGCTGGCTCATGTCCTGGATAGACTCATGCCAATGCTTCTGCTGGTGGCAGAGCCTCCGGGGTTCAGTGGGGGTCCACAGGTGGCAGTGCTGCTGTCAGGCTCCTCGGGGATTTTGGCTCAGCCACACCTGCTTATGGGCTGTTTGGGTAGCTGCACACTTGACTCGAGCTCCTGAGTCTGGCTTGGCGATGCCAGACGGCAGGTTACCCAACAGCTCAGCCTTGGCTCTGGTACTTGTCCAGTTAGCCCCGTCTGAAGGCCCATCAGGGCTACTGCACTCCTACTTCACCTTGCGTGAGAACGTGCCCACACACCCCTTCGCTGACGGTTCCTGTGGGGTTCTCCAGTCCTCCTACTAGTACTGAGCACACCTCAGCCCAATTCTCACACCCCTCACAAAACAACCACATTCTAGTCCCTCAGCATAAAAATCTACCTGTGACCCTCTCCTCCTCTGCCACTTCCCCCTTCCCTTTACAACAGCCAGTGAACGTGCTGCCTCCAACCAATGCCTTGACTTCCTGCCTCCACTTCACCGTTGCCTCCCTCTACTCTGGCTTCTCCCTCTCCTCTGAAAGGGGAGCCCATGTGCTCATGTACTGTGCACTGACTGCCTACAGACAACCCCTCTGCTCCCAGCCCTTTCCTTCCCATACAGGGAGTGGCTCCCTGCTCAGGACCACATGACAACGGGGGCAAGAGCTTTTCTCACTGGTGGGGCTGGCATCTCCATTTCAATTCCACACTTAATTCTTTCCCTCTTTTCTTGCTCCCTCAGCCCCTTGCATTTTATTTCCTCAGCCTTGCTTGTTTGCAGCCCTTCTCTTTGCTCCAACTGCTGATGTCTGCTCTTGCTTGGTTGCCTTTCCTTCTGTCCAGGGAGAATGATAGCCCGCCACGCTTGGAAAGAGATTTAAAAATATCTGAATGACTTGAACTCTGGCACTTCAGCCTGGATCTCATTTGGGCCCAGACAGGGAAGTCTGTTCAATTCATTACATGACTCTGAGACAGGCTGGGTCTCTCTCCAGGTTTTCATTAATGCCACCTGGGCACTGCGAAAAAGAGTAACAGGCCTATTGGCCTATGTCCATGCTGCAAGTGGATCGGTGTTCTCATGTGGCAATTCCTGTTTGGGCTGCTAGTGTCCAGGCCATAGAGACATGCAGAGATCCCTCTGTGCCTGACCACACTGGCGATCATTGTGCGGATCAGCAGTGGTGCAATGCTCCTCGGTGAAGGGGGTAGGGCCAGACAGCGAGGTAACAGCCACAAGCTGGGTGTGTGTGAGAGAACGTGGGAGCAAAGGCTTTGAAAGGCTTTATACCTTAAGAGAACACAGCACCTGTTAGAGAGAACCCTACCAAATTCACAGCCGCAAAAAACTCTGGTCTCCCCACCCTCCCCTCATGAAATCTGGTGTCCCCCAGTGAAATCCAGTCGTTTCCCCATTATTATACAGATGTTAAGGGGGATACCAGTTGGGGGTACAATTTACAATTTCAGATTTCAATACATGAAATCACATTTATTCTTTTTAAAATCCTATGACTGCAACACTGACCAAAATGGACTATGAGTTTGGAAAGGCCCAGCTCATGAAAGTCCAAGCTCTATCAGCCCTGGGGATTTCAGCCACTGCTGCAATTCCTGGCACAGACAAGCAAAGCCACCAGCAGCCACTGTGCTCTCACCTCTGCTTGAAGCCCACGTAAGCTGCACTGGTGCAAATCGAGATTCTGTCTGTCTCTGCTGCGGTTCTCCCCAAGGCAGCAGCCCCATGGCTAGCCAAAGGTGGCTGTAACAAAGGCCGGTCCAAGTGCAGGCACGATTAAGGAGCACCCAGCAGTCTTCCTACGGGACCAGACGGGACCTGCTGGCAATTTCTTTGAAACTCACTGGGTATGGCTGGGAAGGTTTGTGTAGCTTGCTTGCCATGCACAACCACCAGCAAGAAGAGGCTGACTGCTCGCTGGGAAGGAGCTACAGGTCACTTACAGTGTTCTGGACACCGGCAGATGACTCAGGTTGCTGGAAGGGGTTGGGGCTGTCCCTGCCCTCCGAACTAGGTGGGGCCGCATTCTGTCGCACCCAGGAGAGAGGCTGGATGCTGCCTGGCTTGGTCTGCTGGTGCCCATGCCACACAAGAGGGAAAAGGCAGAGTAAGGGATGAGACACAGCGGAGAGACAATAAAAGTTAGGGCAGCAGGACATCCCTGGCATGCAAGAGAGGTGCAGCTCTTCGGCCCTGCTGCTGACCCAGTGAGAGGCAACATTACCTACACCCCCATTCTTACATGCTAGGGCAAGTAACAGCAGCTGCCAAATAGCAGCCAACACCCCAGGATCAGGACGGGCAGCACAAGACAAGCAATAGGGACATGGCAGGGCCCAGTGGCTCCACACAAGCTCAGGTCTCACACGAGGCTGCAGTGCAAAGGGCAGCTGCTGAGCTAAGGAGGAACAGGTGGTAGGAAGGACAGGCCTGTGGAGAAGGTGGGATTCGCAGGTGGGTGAAGCAGGGCAAACAGTGCTGCCACTGAGGACTCGGATGGCAGATTGGGGAGGGGCAGGGAAATGAGAGGGCACAGTAGGAGTGTGGAGATGAGCTGAGATGAGAGCCCATCGCCCTGGGACGTTTCATGGAGATGAACAAATGTGAGACACGGACATGAGGGGGAACAGAGAAGCAAATAAGCAAGCGAAAGACAGAAACCACCACTGGAGCGAGAGCCACCAGAGGAGGCAGCAGAAGGAACAAGACACAAGGTCAGGAATGAGCAGAGGACCAGCAAAGGAGAGGACCAGGCTGAAAGCGAACAGTGAGGAGAAAGGAGAGGGCAAAGCTGAAAGTGAGGAGTGAGGAGAAAGGGGAGGGCGAGGCGGCAGTGAGGAGAAAGGGGAGGGTGAAGCGGCAGTTAGGAGAAAGGGGAGGGCGAAGCGGCAGTGAGGAGAAAGGAGAGAGCGAGGCAGCAGTGAGGAGAAAGGAGAGAGCGAGGCAGCAGTGAGGAGAACGGGGAAGGCGAGGCGGCAGTGAGCAGAAAGGGGTGGGCGAGGCGGCAGTGAGGAGAAAGGGGAGGGCGAAGCGGCAGTGAGGAGAAAGGAGAGAGCGAGGCAGCAGTGAGGAGAAAGGAGAGAGCGAGGCGGCAGTGAGGAGAAAGGAGAGGGCGAGGCGGCAGTGAGGAGAAAGGAGAGAGCGAGGCGGCAGTGAGGAGAAAGGAGAGGGCGAGGCTAAAAGTGAGCAGTAAGGAGAAAGGAGAGGGCGAAACGGCAGTGAGGAGAAAGGAGAGGGCGAGGCGGCAGGGAGGAGAACGGAGAGAGCGAGGCGGCAGGGTGGAGAACGGAGAGAGCGAGGCGGCAGGGTGGAGAACGGAGAGAGCGAGGCGGCAGGGTGGAGAACGGAGAGAGCGAGGCGGCAGGGTGGAGAACGGAGAGAGCGAGGCGGCAGGGTGGAGAACGGAGAGAGCGAGGCGGCAGGGTGGAGAACGGAGAGAGCGAGGCGGCAGGGTGGAGAACGGAGAGAGCGAGGCGGCAGGGTGGAGAACGGAGAGAGCGAGGCGGCAGGGTGGAGAACGGAGAGAGCGAGGCGGCAGGGTGGAGAACGGAGAGAGCGAGGCGGCAGGGTGGAGAACGGAGAGAGCGAGGCGGCAGGGTGGAGAACGGAGAGAGCGAGGCGGCAGGGTGGAGAACGGAGAGAGCGAGGCGGCAGGGTGGAGAACGGAGAGAGCGAGGCGGCAGGGTGGAGAACGGAGAGAGCGAGGCGGCAGGGTGGAGAACGGAGAGAGCGAGGCGGCAGGGTGGAGAACGGAGAGAGCGAGGCGGCAGGGTGGAGAACGGAGAGAGCGAGGCGGCAGGGTGGAGAACGGAGAGAGCGAGGCGGCAGGGTGGAGAACGGAGAGAGCGAGGCGGCAGGGTGGAGAACGGAGAGAGCGAGGCGGCAGGGTGGAGAACGGAGAGAGCGAGGCGGCAGGGTGGAGAACGGAGAGAGCGAGGCGGCAGGGTGGAGAACGGAGAGAGCGAGGCGGCAGGGTGGAGAACGGAGAGAGCGAGGCGGCAGGGTGGAGAACGGAGAGAGCGAGGCGGCAGGGTGGAGAACGGAGAGAGCGAGGCGGCAGGGTGGAGAACGGAGAGAGCGAGGCGGCAGGGTGGAGAACGGAGAGAGCGAGGCGGCAGGGTGGAGAACGGAGAGAGCGAGGCGGCAGGGTGGAGAACGGAGAGAGCGAGGCGGCAGGGTGGAGAACGGAGAGAGCGAGGCGGCAGGGTGGAGAACGGAGAGAGCGAGGCGGCAGGGTGGAGAACGGAGAGAGCGAGGCGGCAGGGTGGAGAACGGAGAGAGCGAGGCGGCAGGGTGGAGAACGGAGAGAGCGAGGCGGCAGGGTGGAGAACGGAGAGAGCGAGGCGGCAGGGTGGAGAACGGAGAGAGCGAGGCGGCAGGGTGGAGAACGGAGAGAGCGAGGCGGCAGGGTGGAGAACGGAGAGAGCGAGGCGGCAGGGTGGAGAACGGAGAGAGCGAGGCGGCAGGGTGGAGAACGGAGAGAGCGAGGCGGCAGGGTGGAGAACGGAGAGAGCGAGGCGGCAGGGTGGAGAACGGAGAGAGCGAGGCGGCAGGGTGGAGAACGGAGAGAGCGAGGCGGCAGGGTGGAGAACGGAGAGAGCGAGGCGGCAGGGTGGAGAACGGAGAGAGCGAGGCGGCAGGGTGGAGAACGGAGAGAGCGAGGCGGCAGGGTGGAGAACGGAGAGAGCGAGGCGGCAGGGTGGAGAACGGAGAGAGCGAGGCGGCAGGGTGGAGAACGGAGAGAGCGAGGCGGCAGGGTGGAGAACGGAGAGAGCGAGGCGGCAGGGTGGAGAACGGAGAGAGCGAGGCGGCAGGGTGGAGAACGGAGAGAGCGAGGCGGCAGGGTGGAGAACGGAGAGAGCGAGGCGGCAGGGTGGAGAACGGAGAGAGCGAGGCGGCAGGGTGGAGAACGGAGAGAGCGAGGCGGCAGGGTGGAGAACGGAGAGAGCGAGGCGGCAGGGTGGAGAACGGAGAGAGCGAGGCGGCAGGGTGGAGAACGGAGAGAGCGAGGCGGCAGGGTGGAGAACGGAGAGAGCGAGGCGGCAGGGTGGAGAACGGAGAGAGCGAGGCGGCAGGGTGGAGAACGGAGAGAGCGAGGCGGCAGGGTGGAGAACGGAGAGAGCGAGGCGGCAGTGGGGAGAAAGGAGAGAGCGAGGCGGCAGTGCGCAGTGTTAGGAAAAGAGATTTTCTGTCTCAGAGGGAGCGTCCTGCGAGGGAGGAAGCATGCCAGATCTGAGGGCAGAAGCACTTACTGGTTTGCTCTCATCCTGTGGTGGGATGAAGTTTATTGTTGCCTGAAAACAGTCAAAAAAATGCAAGTTGAGTCCTAGTTGGGGCCCCTTGCTCCCTTTGGTTCAGTACCGGCGCTCTGAGCCCAGTCTTTCCAGCTCTTCCGGGCCTGTGCACTCTGGGCATCCCAGGGTACCCACTCCCATCTGTTCCCCTCCCCCGCCTAGCCTGTCCTGGTCCTGGTTTAACCTGCACTCTCATAGCTTGCTACTGAGTTCCAGCCAAGCAAGTGATACCACAGCTTCTCTGCCACAAAGCGCTCGCAGACCCCAGCCCAGCAAGAGCTAGCAGAGAGGAATGGAAGGGGAACAGCTTCTAGCCCAGCAATAGGCAGCCTATGCTAGGTGTGTGGCTGTCCTCCACCTCGCTGAGCCACACGACTGTCACAATGAACACAGGCTCCCAGGTTAGGGCAGTTGCTCTAACTGTGCTTGGGGAGGTGCTGACTGAATCGTAGTAGTGCTGTGACTGACGTAGGGGAGCTCACGGCTCTCTGGGTCAGTATCGTGTGCAATCAGCCCGCACCCGACCTGCTTTGTGTGTCACTTTAGTTCTACCGGAGAAACCACAACTATGTGGATGGAAGCCAGCAGAATGTGACAATCCTGCACGTGCCCAACAGTAACAAAATGTGTCCTAGGGCTGGGCCGCAGGTTGCCCACCACTGTTCCAGACACTTGGGATCTGGCCTGAAAACTGCTCCCCCACAGCACAGTGCTCAGCAGATACCACGCCTGGGGGAGAGCGAGGCCAAGGAGCGTGCTAAGAGCAGCAGCACACACTGCACACCAAGAAACACTTACAAAGCGAGTCTCCCTGCCTGACAGATGAGCAGGCCGAAGGGCTGCAGGTGGCTGGAGAGGGGCAGCACCAGGGAGAACCAAGAGGGGAGAGAACCAGAGAAACAGTGAAGACACCAGGGTTCCTGCAGGAAAGGTAAAGACAAGCACCCCTTTCCCCAGAGCTGAAACTCCCCTTCCCCAAGTCCCACAGCAAACATGCCCAGACTTTTTTAACCCCCGGCAGACGCAGCAGCTCCCATGCCACCTGCACCTGCCAGGGAAAAGACTCAGCACCTTCTGCTCAGCAGGGAACAAGCTGCCTCCACTGCACTACATGCAGAGAGGGGAGGCCTTGCTGGCTTCTCCCCTGCCTCCAGATCACAGGATTAAAGGTCAGAGGGGACAATCCTGATCACAGACTGACTCTGGGTGTGGCACTGGCCAAGAACTTCAGCCAGGGATTCCATTGAGCCCAGTTACATGGGGCTGAACTAGAGCAGAGGTTCTCAAACTGGGCACTGGGACGCCAAAGTGGCTCAGGACCTTGTTTTAGTGGAGCCACCAGAGCTTGCTTAGACTTCCCAGGGCCAAAGCTAAAGCCCAAGCCCCATTGCCCAGGGCCAAATGAGATGCCCTCAGGGTGGGCTCAGTGACAGGTCCCCTGCCAAGGAGTGCAGCTCTTGTGCACTGGCGTGGCCTCCCTGCCTGGGGCGGTAGGCTTGGGAAGCTTTAGGCTTTAGTCCCCCTCCTGGGGCCAAGCAGTAGTTTTTGTTGCAGAAAGGGGTTGTGGTGCAATGACATTCGAGAACCCGAGTCGTTCTTGTTTGAGATGTGCATATGTAAGGGAGCGTAAGGCCCTGCTTGCCAAGGAGTGCAGCTCTTGTGCACTGGCGTGGCCTCCCTGCCTGGGGCGGTAGGCTTGGGAAGCTTTAGGCTTTAGTCCCCCTCCTGGGGCCAAGCAGTAGTTTTTGTTGCAGAAAGGGGTTGTGGTGCAATGACATTCGAGAACCCGAGTCGTTCTTGTTTGAGATGTGCATATGTAAGGGAGCGTAAGGCCCTGCTGA